GATGACGACCTCGATGACACTTTCATTATCGGGAAAGCCTTTTTTTCTGCTCCCCAATCGCGCTAACACGTTTATGATCGCTGACGTGAGCTCGCGTCATTCACGATGACGTTTCTAGTTGACTTTTTCAATGGAATATCCTCTTCATTACCAATGGTAGTTAATTATGTGCCTTTGTAACAACACGAGTCTCCTCCGACCAGCAATTTTCAATCAACTTTCACCTCGAAAGAAGAAATTAACGATAGAATGTTGATAACATCGAATATTGTAAATACAAGACTCGCGTGAATGACAAAAGAATTAATTAGCAGGCAAATAAATAATACGCAATTAACGATAGAATGTTGACATGAAATATTATAGATATAACAGACTGACGTGAATGAGAAAAGAATTAATTAGCAATCTACAGCCCATAGATCCACAATCAAAGCTGTTCTAAAAATTCGCGAAAATCATGAAAATCATGAAAATCATGATATTTTGTTAAATAAAAATATCTTTCTGTAATATAATTGTCTATAACACAATGTAAGAAGAAATGTTACGTGCAAATGAATAATATGCAATTAACGACAGAATGTGGATAATATGAAATATCGTAAATACAAAACTCGCGTGATGAGAAAAGAATTAATTAGCAGTCTACAGCCGATAGATCGACGATCAAAGCTGTTCTGAAAATTCTCGAAAATCTATATCTTGCAAATGAAAATATCTTTCTGTAATAATTGCGCTATAACACGATGTAAGTTCTTTTCGCAAGGTAAAAGAGGTAAGGTAAGGTTAAAGATCGGTGAAAGATAAGAGGTAAGGTTGAAGATCGGTGGACTCGAGATTATGAATCATCGAAGGGGATGAAGGAAGTGAAGTGAAAAAGGAGAACGTCGCGTCGGAAAACGACTGGCCGCGCGCGGACAATTTCCTTTTTTTCCACGGCGGTTTGTGCACTTTAGATAAGTTGTTCGGGGCAACAGCGCGGAATGGCTCGTAACTTTGCCCCGAGTGAAATTAATTTCTTCTCGATAGAATCTTAACGACAACCGGGTTCCATCGTCAGCCGCTTACGCACACACACTTTTATCTGCGTTTCACAATCGTCGAACCGTTTGTTTGAAATTTCGAGCGGGAAAGGAGCAGGGGGCGGGGAGAAAAATGCGACAGGAAGGAGGCGAGAAGGGCTATTTGCACAAATTATCGAACGATCATCGTTAGACGGCTAATCGAGGACTTTCCGAACGAGTTTACCCCTTATCGGTAACCCGATCCGCATGAGAGGCGATTCTTAAACATCCTGATAACAGTTTCACGCAAACATTGAAGCTCCAACGAATTTCTTCGCTCGGCGAGCGGGGAGAATGCCTCAAACAACTCGGTGAACCGTACGCTTAGGCTGTTTGTAATCAAACTATGACTTAATAACTTTGAAATTACAGATGGCAAGTTCTACTTTCAATCGTGCTTCGGTCGGAAACACCAAGAATGCGTTTATCGAGAGTATAACTGATTCGTTATTCACTTCGTCCGTCGCTGCATCGATTTCTTCGATAATTTCTCGGCTAAACACCTGTTATCTTCTCAATAATTGCAGGAAGTTAGGAACGCGTCGTTTCGATACGTTTTAGTGTCGATGTGGATTTGTGAAATAGGAAAATATGAGAATTTAGTAAATTACCGTGGATTGTTCAAATTTGCGCTTTCGAGTGCAATTTTCGCTGCAGACTCGCAAGAACGAGAAATCAGAAATTGTCGAAGTTTTACTAACCGTACCAGTCTAAATAACTGGTTTCGGTTAGTAAAAATTAAACAGTAATTGAACTATTAAATTATTAAATTATTAAACTCATGAAGGCTCGAAATAATTTTCAGAATAGTTTCACTTGAATACTATAACGAACGTCTGCAAGAATTAAAAACAATTTAGTACTGCAATTTTTATAGGGATTTATCATACATAGGGATTTAGGGATTTAGTATACACGTCATCTTAAAGCTTGAAATGATTTCTATTTCTTTCAACGATGAATTCTTAATATTTTCAAATAAACTTGTAACACTTCTTTGCTTTACTTTTAATTTTTCAAGCATTCGTCCTTCGTTTGACGAGTATGCACGTCATCTCAAAGCTTGAAATGATTTCTATTTCTTTCAACGATGAATTCCTGATGTTTTCAAATAAACATATAACTCTTCTTTGTTTTACTTTTAATTCTTCATTGAAATGCACCCTGAATGCATTCGTCCTGCGTTTGACGGGTACATTATTCTTTCATTTCATTACGCAAGGCGAGAGATTTTTTCAAGAAAATTCCACGGCTAACAGGTTTAGTGCCCGGTAGTTCTAGTACGAACGCTTTCAAACGAAATTTATGTTCCCGGACGAGTCATCGGTCGCCGGAGCACACGTGGATCGTTGAATCGACGACGTCGGAGGCAGACGAGCCGTTCGCGTTTGTTCTGCAACGGGAATCGTTGTTAGCCCGTTGTGAAAACGCGCGAGGATCCATCATGCATCGGAAAATATTACGGATTGTACGAGCCGTCGCGGCGAAACGCTCGTTACGATTTATCGGTTGACTCAGGTGCGCTGGATTCACCTTGACTCATTATTCGGAACCGCTTCCCGGCGTTTTCATCGCTCGATAATCGAATTTGCATCTTGCCGCGCGGCTGCGTCTCGTCCGAGCAAACCAATCGTTGGTAATCGATTCGCGGACGGGATGATTTCTTTGATAACGCCAACACGCGTGTCTTTTTTTAAACGGTCGCTCGAAATATTCCGATTGTTCGGTGAAATCAAAATTTTATTCGACACAATGTAACGGTTGATCGTCGAAGCGATAAGATAATTCTATAAGAAATCTTCAGTTTCTACTGTAGACTAATTACAGGCTAATGAATCGATAATTTAAGCTTCTATAACTGTGTAACTTTGAAGTCAATTCTAATTGAATTGATATATTGGAAGCTTGTTGGGTTGTTTCATTTCGCATAAAGTGGGTCGAATAGTTAAGTGATTAATTAACTTATTAACTAACAACTTTGGTAGCTGTATTAAAACGAATGTACCTCGTAATTTTGAAAGTTCAACTTAATTGTAATTTCAAAATTATGAGATATATTCGTTTTAATACAGTTATTATAGTTATTGTATATATTGTTAATTTGTATTAGTCACGAAAACAAACGGTTAATCATTGAAGTAATCGTGATTGTTATTTATAACGTTGCTAATTCCCTGGAGGCTCGAATACCAGAAATTCGGTGGTTCGATGAAATTAATCCATCGTATACAATAAAATATCAATTTCTATATTTTGAATTTAAATACTTCTTCTAATTCTTCATCACTGGACAACTAGTTTAAATGGTAAAATCGTGTATTCCTTTAGAAAGTGATATCACTATACAAATTCCACAAGAATCGATTTATTCAAAAGATACATAGGAAATGGCACCTTTTTTAACTAAATTTGAGAAAGAAATGCTCCATTACACTGTAATTATCATTCGCCATTAATTTCGAGGATACTCGACGAAATGTACTTCCCGTTCGAAACCGTTCACCCCTTTCAATCGTGAATAACGACCGATAAAAAAGGAGGCACGTTGAATATTTTTGTAAGAAACACTTTCTACCGGGGTTTCGTGAAAATCGACGGATGTCACTTCAACCTGACCCTCCATTATCCGCTGGTAATATCTCTTATTAACGTTTATACACGTTACACGTCCATATGTTTCGTACGCGTCGTTACGAAATCGGCAGTGGTTCTTTTGTTGCGTTTCGCCAGCCCGTAAATTGACACGTTGTAATAACATAGCGCGTAAAATCTTCAATTGTGCGGCTCGCCGCAAAGGACCGGTGGTAGTTTCGACGTCGAACGTTGTCGTTCGTCTTGTTCCGTTTTTATCTTTTCACCCGCGGTCGGAAAAATGACGCTACCTCGGCGACGCAGCTGCGTGACTCACGCCGGCCGGTAGCCTTACGTTCGCGACTTTTGATTGTTTATTGACAGCTCGGAGACGTTAAAGGCGAGCAACGTTGTGCTTTGTTATCACAGTTGTAAAATATTCTTGAATACCAACAAGTGTCGATTCGTGAGCCATATACATAACTATGCATAACATTAGCCGCCGCTACGTTCAACGGAGAATCTCCGAAGTTGCTTTTGATTTACCGTAATACAAATATTGTTTCTCGGCTCCTTGATCTTTGAAGCAAATGTAGATGTTGGAGGACCATGGAATTATCTTTTTTCATAGTAAATCGTTAGCAATGAAAGTCTTAACCAGTTAATTATGTTCGACGAGTATACAGGTCATCTTAACCCTTTGCACTCGAGTGACCCTCAGTCACCACTTGATTTGATTTGCAAAATTATGAAGTCTTATATATATGGAATATATGGAATATTCAAATAAAATAACTTTCCTTCTTAATTTATATATGTTTTCCTATTAATTACTTTTAAAGGACAAGAAAAACTTTCGATTGCAAAGGGTTAAAACTCTTAATGCTAACTTTTTCAACGATGGATTATTTATTTTTCGAGACAAACATGTAATTCTTCGTTTCGCTTTAGTTTCTCGTTAGGATATATTTTAAGTGCATTTCGCCTGCATTTAACCAGTATACACTTCAATATTTGATTTTACAATGAGAGAATTTTCAAACTAAATTCCACACTTAACTGGTTAGCAGCAGTTCTGAAAGAAATCATAGTGTGGAGGATACAGTATGCTAACAGTTCTAGTGTTAATCGTTCCATCGCGTCAAGCAAATACTAAATTAAGAATAAACAATAAACAAATATCCATTCGAATGGATATATAGAATGGAATAATCAATCAACCCAATTGTTCCAGCATCAAATATCCCGTTGCGTGAAACAGATAATAAAATATCAATAAAAAGAAGAATAAGGACAGCGAAGTGTCCAGATGGCGGTCCGCATTCCGAAATCCCTAAAACGTTGCGTTCCCGTTTGTTCCAGGCGAGAAGCCGCACAAGTGCGTGGTATGCGGCAAGGCGTTTTCCCAGAGCAGCAACCTGATCACCCACATGCGCAAGCACACCGGGTACAAGCCGTTCCAGTGCGGCCTCTGCGAGAAAGCGTTCCAGAGGAAGGTGGACCTGAGAAGGCACCGCGAGGGCCAGCATCCGGCGGCGCCCGCCCTCGACTACCGCTCCCTCCAGCTGCCCCCGCAGCCCAGCCAGGTCCGGCATTCGCCGCCGCTTCAACCCCCGTCCGCTTATCACATGATACCGATACCTGGTAACAGTTGAGAACGCTCAACGCCCGTCATCCTAGCTACCCGATCGTCTCTGCTCGGACTCGAACCGTTCGCGTACCGTAGGGAGATCACTTGTTGGCTAGCCTAACGAATCTAGGTCTGATTGGTCGGTTCGTTCTCGTCAGTTCATTATGAGGAGGTGGAAATGGTAACGGACAGTTTTATAGGGTAGAACTCTGTATAACGTGATTGAAAAATCGAGAAATAGCGGATACAAGAGGACCAATTTGACACTAGATTTAGGGAGATCGATGGCTGGGTTAAGGAATGTAGGTCTGATTGGTCAGTTCATTGTTCAGAAGTCGAAATGGTAACGGAAAGTTTTATAGGGTAGAACTTGTAACGTGATTGAAAAATCGAGAAATAACTATGAGTGAGGTTTTCCATAAGAAACCGGAGGATTCACTTGACATTAGATTTAGGGAGATTGTTGGCTAGCCTAAGGAATGTAGGTCTGATTGGTCAGTTCATTATTCAGAAGTCGAAATGGTAACTGTTTGAGAGTTTTATAGGGTAGAACTTGTAACGTGATTGAAAAATCGAGGAATAACTAAGAGGGGTTTTCCATAAGAAACCAGAGGACCAACTTGACACTAGATTTAGGGAGATTGTTGGCTGGGCTAAGTAATGTAGGTCAGATTGGTCAGTCCATTATTCAAAGGTGGAAATGGTAATTGTTTGAAAGTTTTATACGTAGGCATCAAGTCATCTCCCTACAATACGTAATACGATCCCGATCGTGGCACGCGTGCCCCCGTTTACACGCCCCGAGAACGAACAGATTGGAGGACAGCCTGCAACGACAGTGATCTTTAACCTCTTGCTCTATTGTTTCTTTCCCACTTGCGCTCAACAAAGGTATTTTGTTCATAATTCATTAGAGAAAGTGGAAAGTTCTACACTTATTCTATTTCTACGTTTATTCAGAAGCATTACAATTAACACATTGCGTGGTAATGAGAAATCTCGTTATTATATAAAGACACTTAGCTATGCAACTTTGCTAATTACCACAGTATTGAAAAAATATAAAATTTAATTCGAATTGATTATCTATTTCAAATATATTACACAACAATATATCTGAGCTCAATTCAGTTTTCTGAAAATTAGCCGGCACGCAATGTGTTAGTAACAGGAGAATATTCAATTCGGACTTGGAAGAATTACATAAGTGATGCTTTCAAATTACAAGGTACATTTCATCTCGAACTATTTCTAGCGCCTGAGACCAATATCGACAGTTAAGGGTTGAACACCTTGCCCTCCAAAAATCTGTCACCAGAAATAATCAATTTATTTTCATTTTATTTAACAACAAATCTATTCACAAAAGGGGAACAATTCTTTATTTCCACATTTCGAATCGACAGATTACTCGAGACTTAATATTAAATACATTTTACAATTTCGATGCAAATCGAGGCACCGTTGGAGTGCAAGGATCAATGACCTTGAAGAATCAAATCTTAAATTTCCTCAGGCTCGTAGTTTGCCGTGTGAACATTCGCCAACGGATTTTACAATCGGGAAACAATTGAAATGTCGCGCGACAAATTTCACATAATCCCCAAAATCTTCGAGAATGGAAAAGCGTCGTCGGGATGACACGCTTCCGCATGTTTTCGAGCTGAAGCCCGTAGTCATCGGCGAGTGAACAAGATTAGCCTTTTTATGTAGGGAATCGTCTGCCGTCCATTATCGCAGTACTATCGGTATGTATGTTGATACATGTATATATAGTATAAATATACACCTGGGAAGAAAAAAAAAATATATATAAATATATATATATATATACACACGTTAAAGTAGACGCAAAAAAAAGTTATATGTATATACACCGTGTAAACGCGAACACGCACAACGGTCGATGCATTGAAAAGTATTTGGTCATTCCACGAACAATATGTTTCCTTTACATTTCTTTTATTTCGAGAACTTCAGGAGATTCTTTTCAATTCGAAATACAACTCTTCGTTGTGCAAAGAATGAATTTTTTTCAAATAGCGATCATTGAAACGGGATAATATGAATAATGGACATTGTAATTTCTGAAAATAGGAGATAAGAGAATATATTATTTCTGGGATGACCGGACACGTAGGTAATCGTAAAATAATTGTTCGTTGGTTCGCGATACCGAATGCTTCGTTTTGCGAGAAGTCATGGAGTCGGTTGCTCGGTATAAATTGAAGTCTCGATGATCCTTAGCGCTCGAGAATCTGAAATGGAAGATCTCGAGTGTTTCGTTTCGCAGCGAGAGACGGGCGACTGTACGCGCTAATTAATTAGAATTATTCAATGGTCGAATTTGAACGAGAATTATTTCATTGAGATGAAAGAATGTTCGTCGACCTTAGAGAACGTAGGGAGTCTTTTTATAAAATTCTACAGCAGATCGAGCCTTTTTTACATGTGGAATCGTCTGTGCCTTAACTTCTAACGAGAAAGTAATGAGAATTACAGCTACTTGTAAAAAGTACGATTTTTATCGGTGCGATCGAAGGTTTGGATGGGAACGATGGAAAATCTGCGGAAGAAAGTCGAATGGAAAGGAATGGAGCGATCGTAAAAGAGATCCTGCCTTTTCATGGAAACGCACAATAATATGCACCGGTATGTCTGTGTGTCGGTGTGCGCGCGAATGTGAATCCGAATAGTTGCGACTATAGTTTCCGTGCGTACGAGTCAGCGTTACCAATCCGCACGTGCAGGGTTTTCAGATACTCGGGCCGTTTATTTTGGAAATCGCTCAAGTCCATTTGAAAGCAAGAATAATAATAAAGAAAAATAATCTGTTGCGACTGCCGTAATTGGACTGTGGATCTGGAATACGAATTTTTAAGAATATACACAATTATTTACGGAAATTCCGTTATATATCATATTCCAGTATGAATTTTTAAGAATATAATCAGGAGAGTGGAATTTCTGTAAATAATTGGTTGGTAATTAATTATATATATTTTATATATTTTTATATATATTAAATATATATTATAATTATATATATTAAATATATATATTTGTTTCGCATCTTGTGTATTCCGAGCAATTAAGCATTTCCAAATTTCAATTCGCGAAAATCGTATAAATCAATCTAATAACAACTATCAACTTAATTTCTTTGAAAAATGGATCTAAGCTATTTTGAAGATATTTTTAAAATAAATGGCTCACTTATATGTACGTACACTTATTTATCGAAACGATTAATAATTATCATCGATCGCTTAAATGGTAACGCGAAATGATATTACCGATGACAACACCGTCGAACTTCGAGAAACCAAATTCTTGCGAAGAAAGTTGCTTGAAAGATTATAAAGCTACCAGTTGCTAATATTCAAAATATGCCCGAAATCGATGTTTTCAATTGCACAATCAATGATGTAGCGATAATCGATGTGTCATTGCTGTTTGCGTTCCACACTGCAGAGAATCATTTTTCTGTTTCATGAAAATCTTCGAGTTTCACATTCGGGAATCTCATAACGAAAAATCGGAACGAAAAAAATAAGAAAAATTTCAGAATAAACGAACCTCGTCTTTTAGTTTTCCTTATAAGGTAAACGATATTTCGGAAAAATTGAACAAAAAATTGAATTACGTGCACAGCAATGATAAATCGAAAGATGATAAAGTTTCTTCTATTTTTCTAACAGTGCTTCCAATTTATAGTTTCCTCAGCGACACTTTCGAAATGTTCTTTTGTGGGTTTCCTGTTCGAAAAACACTGTTTGAGCAAAATTTGAACACACATATGAGACGCACGCATGAATTGTAAACTCCGGTGATGAGTGAGTACACCATCTGCAGCGATTTTCTGGGACCAAAGCGATCCTCGATTTTTCTGCAATCGATTTCAGCCGAGTTCTCCTCAGAGCACAATGGGACAGTGCCAGGAAATCAAAATCACGGATTCTGGGATGTGCTTCGCGTTTGCAATCAGAATTTTTCCGATTGGTGAACAGAATTAAAATAATTTCGTGTTTGTTTATCGAAACGGAAAGATCGTTTGTCGTATCACCGTCGATAATTCTCTTCGGGTCGAGTGAGACCCATTTTATTCGAATCTTCTTCGATCTTATATTAGAATTTATTTATTTAGTTAGAACCTCGTGTTTGCAATTGATGGTTTCACGAATCATTAGCTCGAAACGCGAGAAATTCGTCAAAGCGTTTGATTTAAGCAATTCGATCACAGAAATGGAACTTTTCCGTTTTATATTGGAAATAAATTTTCACCCTTTGCGCTCAAAGCAATTCACTTTGGAATTCGAAGCAGTCATTTCTATAATATGTTTTTTCAAAGCTAAGATAAAATGGAATTCTGTTTTATATTGGAAATAAATATTAACCCTTTAAATTTAAAGCAATTTACTTTGGAATTCAAAGCAGTCATTTTTATAACATATTTTTTCAAAGCTAAGACAAAATGGAGCTCTTCTATTTTATATTGGAAATAAATATTAACCCTTTGAATTCAAAGCAATTTACTTTGGAATTCAAAGCAGTCATTTCTATAAAATGTTTTTTTAAAGCTAAGGCAAAATGGAATTCTTTTATTTTATATCGGAAATAAATTTTCACCCTTTGCATTCAAAGCAATTCACTTTGGAATTCAAAGAAGTCATTTAAAGTAAGCAACAAAATTTAAATTAAGCAACAAAGCTATTTTATTTAAATACTTCCTACAGCGATACAAAGTTTAATTTAAAACACTAAATATTCAACTCATAATTTCGTTGCATCAAATCAAGCGGTGACTGAGAGTCACCTCTCGAGTGCAAAGGGTTAAATCGAACAGCTTGAACCACACCATTCGAGCGCAAAGGGTGAAAGCTCCGCATTTCGAATTGAAATTCGAATCGACTCGAGAACGTCCAAAGTTTTAGAGGAATTAAGGAACGAAGCAGACGAAGGGTGTGCGGGGGATTAGGGGGATTGCGTAAGAATTCGATTTTTCATCGTCTGGCAACGAATCATAGCGGCTAGAGGACCAAAGATAGAGTAAGTCGGACCTGCATAGTAATCGGTAATCGTTCGGGTTCTGAATTCTCTCGAAGGTTCCTTCGAAATTCGAGCGGACGACGAACCCGAGATCCACCGAGGACGAACGGTCCTTTGCGCGTGCGTACAGATTGTATTATATTAAGATTATCGTTAGCGACTAACGACCCGAAGGATCAATGTGTCACCCGTGTGGGCCACGTTGCACGTAGAAATTTCATATTTTTTCAATGTCTCCGACGATGCGACGGGAAAATGATTGTTGAACAATGCGATCGTGTTTCGCGCTGTTACCGTTTGTAGTTCGCGACCGTCGAACCGAGGGAAATTCGCCCGAGAAACTCGTAATCGGACGCGTTAGCGTTATTAGCGATTAACCCGCGAACTGTTTGCATTCCGTCGTGAAATCGTGATTCTAACGAATCTCGAGTTCGTTTTTAATATTATCTTTATTGTTTCGCTTCGGAGGAGTTCGAGCATTCTTGAAGTTTGCTTTGAGTGTTCGGTGAGAGAGCGATTTTAAAATAGACTCGCGTCGAATATAATTTTCTGTACAGTTCGCGGGTTAATAGATATGTAATATTAAAGAAATGCAGAAAGATGGCGTCGGCGAGAGCAGATCGAAGGATCGATGGCGACGAGGAAGCGAGTGTGTGCGAGTGCGAGCGTGAATGACCGATTTGTGTTGATCGGTAAAACCAAAAAATATGTTTATAATTGGTATAAATACGGTATCGATTGAATAAATTGTTTTTCTTATAAACCGTTTGGGTTTCTGTTTATTTTTAATCGAAACGTGTTATCCTTTCCGTAGGAATCCTTGTGATGCAGTTAAACAACTGTTTTGATGCTGCAGGTATAAAAAGACGATTGTTGCATTCCTGCAGGTTGACCACGAGAATTTAGAACGTTTCGTATAATATTACGTATCGTATCGCAACAATGGCAAGTGGCATTAGAATTAGTTTTAATTCGACATGAGTTTCCTTGTAATTGTTTCCAAGCAATGTGTCAATCCTTTGAACTCTGTAGGCTCCAATATTGCGCCAGGAATAATATTAGATACCTTAATGAATCTTAAAGAAACTACCCTATAATTCTTCAATTTTTCACACATCCAAATTTTGAAGGAAAATAAAAGATCTAAAAAATGTTATTTTCTCCATGTTCGCTAGGGATACTAAAAATTAGTTGCAATTGCTGATATTACAAAACCATCCGGAGTGCTAAGGGTTAATTTATCGCTAAGGCTGCAATATTGCACCAGGAATAATATTAAATATTTTAATGAATCTTAAAGAAACCACCCTAAAATTATTCGATTTTCACATCCAAATTTTGTACTAAGGAAAATAAAAAACCGAAGAAATGTTATTTTTTCCATTTTCGCTAGGGATACTAAAAATTAGTTGCAACTGCTGATATTACAAAACCATCCGAAGTGCTAAGGGTTAATTTATCGCTAAAGTACTTCAAGCAACTACTATTACAAAGTACTATATTTAAATTTTGCACCAGCCGAATAATATATACGAGTTGAACACACAAAGTATTTAAACTCGATTATTTATGGGCTGACCCAATAATCGCGTTGCACGTTCGTAAATCCATTAAAATCAGCCCGAACCTGAAACTTTCTCGACGCTTATAGAACGGAAGCTTCGCGGAAGACACCGGCCAGTCGGACATTAATTATTTCTTGTTTAATTCCGTTGTCACGTGACTCGGCCGAGCGTATATAACCGGGCCGATGGCGTTTCTCTTATCTGTCGCGTACCGGTTACCGGTTAACGCAGCTCGCCGCGACAAAGAGACACGGTGCCGACGGTTATTACCGATGGCTTCGCTATACAAACAGCGTGTCGGTAAACAATACCGTCCGCCATGAGCAACACGCGACACACGCCATGCGCAGATGCGCCAGCTAGACGCGATTACCGTAGAATCACATTCGGGATCATTATTGCGGAATAGCGTACACACACTCTCCGGGTTCGGTCTCCTTATCGATTCCTGTTTGCTAATCTGATCGTTCAAGGAGGCATTTCGAAAACCAGCGACGCTATTTTATGAAACGTAATCTGTTAAACCTTTGCACTCGGGAGGTGACTCTCAGTCATTTGATTTGATATAATAAAATTACAAAGTGTTACGTATAATATTTAGTTTCGTATCGATATGTGGAACGTTTATATAAAGTAGCTTTGTTCTTTAATTAACGTATTTCTCATAACTTCGTCTCAAATAGTGTCGTATATGTCTGTTAAGAAAGTGTTGAATATTTCTGGTGTAAAGCTTTCGAGTGCAAAGGGTTCATACTTTGAACTCTGTAGGCTCCAATATCGCACCAGGAATAATATTGAATATTTTAATGAATTTTAAGGAAAGAACCTTGAGATTATCAGAGCTTCCAAATATATAACAGTGAAGTATACAGTGAAGCTATAAAGTTTGATATTTAACCCTTTGAACTTTGTAGGCTCCAATATTGCACCAGTTGTAATATTAAATATTTGAATGAATCTTAAAGAAACTACCCTAAAATTATTAGACTTCCCATACATCCAAATTTTGTACTAGGAAAATAAAAGATCGAAGAAATGTTGCGTTTCTAATTTTCGCCAGGAATACTATAAAAATTAGTTGCAGTTGCTGATAGATTACAAAACAACCTGGAGTGCGAAGGGTTAATATTATACTTCATATAATGCATCAGTCTGAGAAATATCGACGTAAAACAGCTTTGTCCGTCAATTCACGTGAATTTCGTCAGAAAATGTTGAAATATTTCTAGTGAAAAACTTCGGAGTGCAAAGGGTTAACTCGCTTTAGATCTCAAATCAAAACATTCTCGAAGAAATGCACCTATTTTCACGGTGCACGTTAACCCTTTGCCTCGTCATTTATTTCGACTCAAACAGCGCAAAGGGTTAATTTTATACAGTGATCCTATCGTCAATCAAGATCCCACTGTACATCGCGCGAGTCGGTTCAATCCTTATCAGTGTTAAGCTTTTCGTCAGAGACTGTACCCGTTTCGCCGTGCTCTAGAATAAAATCACAAGAAGCGCGCGGGTATTTCGCTCGGTTATTTTTCAGTAGCGGGGACGAGGTTCGCGCGGTGTATAGTTAAGGGGCGACCCGTCCGTTTAATAATTAGAACGGGAGCAACGGAGTCGAATGTTTCTTAGAAAGTGCATCATTGTTTTGTTAAAACTCGCGAAGCCTGGTGCACGGTTACGTCGCGGCGAGAAAGTAACACGTCCCCGCGCAAGAATCGGGAGACCTTCGGTCGGCTAAAATAAAAGAACGAGATAATATCTTGGGCAATTTATCCTTTTTTTCTATCGCGCTTTCATCGGTTATTTTTTTCAAAGAAGGCGTCCTCCGTTGGTAATTTGTCCCTACGGCGGAGGATAATCGTCGATAATCTATTAAACCGCGATCCTGTTCCATACTTCTTTTTCCCCGTACCTTTCCCTCACCTGCCTCGCTCGGAGGCTTCGCCTTCGCGGCTAAAAATGGAATGTTTCAATTAAACGGCGAGCCGTTTCAACGTTTAGGCGCGGCGAGCGTGAATTATTTATGCACCGCGTAGGAATCTGAAGAAGGATTGCTTCAACGGACTTTGCATCCTAACACTGTTTAATCATTTATTAATTATCGATGATGGCTGCCGATTTTTCAAGAATTTTTCGATAATAACGGCGACCGCAATAAGTCGTTTCGTACAGTATCGTTCAATAATTAATTATTTGCAACGCTAGACGAAGAACGCTTCTAACATTTCTCTGAAATGAAACTATTTATTTTCAAAATCATTTCGAATATTCGGTGCTTCGAAGATATCAATAATTGCTAAACAAAAACATCGAAACCAGTCATTTTGACTGGTACGGTAGTTCTAGTGTTAAGGAATAAAATATTAATGATATTAGTGATAATAATAATAATGATAACACTACAATATATTTATATAATAATTTCACTTAGTGTACAAGTAATGAAAATCCCAGAGCAAAAAGTGTTTTCCTAATTTAGTTTTATAGTTTCGATTAGCTACTTGCAACCGTATTAACGAGTAGATTAATGATCGAAAGTATTAGGAATTTGCAACTAAAATCAACGGAATACTGGGTGAGAAAAAATGAAAACTGATTGACCAACCGAATTCCTCAATCTAGTCATCAAGTGAGATTTCCCTAAAATGAATGCAGTTCTTCAAGCTAAAAATGCAAAGAGACAACAGGAAGACGTCCACGTTGCAGCAAAGTTGGCGTCTCGGTTCCGACGCATTCGTTTAACGGCCGAGTCGCATAAACGAAGGGCGCAAACGGCACGAAACACGACAATTTCAGGTACAAATAAGAAACTGACGTTCGCGTTCATTCACCATTGTTATATCTCACTTGGTCGTAATCGCGAACAATTTAAATGCAGATACAACTTACGAAGATAACCGAACGCTTATTCATTGTTGTGCAACAAATGTTTGCAGAATGTATGAATTTAATAACGAAAATGTTTTCTTACACTGAACACATCGAGTAACATTTCGCAGATTTGTTAATTCGTCCGATGAAATTAGTCTCCGCCAGAGATTGTATATTAACGATCGAATCATTCGAGACCGTCGACATTTTAAAACCGTCCTCGATCCCTTGCTTCGCGTGTAGTCCCACGAGACGTCGAGCTGACTTCGATAAATACGAATGTTATATTCCCCGTTGAATCGGAATCGGGCATTATCTTTCTCGTCAATAATTTACCCGCGGAGTAAACATACGTTTATTCTAAATTTAGAAGTCTTTTATTGTCTCCGGTGAATTTATTGGGAACGATATAGCCCCGACGAGAACAGTTGCCCAAGAAATCGCGAGTAAGAGGTTAATACAAATAGGCAGGCGATCGTCGGCAGTTGGGAAAAAACGTTTAATTTTATGCTGGCATCAATGTTAATTAAACGTAAATTAAAGGTTAATTAAAATATGTGTATGTATATTTTATAATGGAGATTATAAAATCACTAGTTCCCAACGTTTCGAAAAACGAACAGTCTTATTAACGAGTTTCTCTAATCCGATGTAACGTATGGACATTCCCTGCCTCTACGATCGCTTCCGTTGCCATAAATTCTGGCGAGATTGCTGTATATTCATGTACCGGTAGTTTCTGCATGCTCGTAAAAAATGATAATCGAGTGGATTGACTCGAGCGGCCGAGTCATATATATCGGACATGCCATTCGACGTCGCTCCATAGGCGAAGGAGCCTCGGGTTTCCACGGGAATCGGACAGAAAGAGAAATGGAAAGTGTCCGGTTCAATCTGATTCTCAAAACGGAAAAATTCACTTTTCGTTCGTCGCTTTGATGTACGACGATGCAGCGAGACACTGATCCGAGAATTTACGCGGAAATCGTCGTCGCGTGGATCGTTTATCGCGAAAGTAACTCCATTTTTTTTAACACGTTGACTGAAATTGGCATCTCGAGCGTTTTCTATTAGTAATATATGTTCCTTCGTAACAAAGGTACTTAAATGGCATTAGAAATATTGCTTCGATGCGAACATTTTGACGATTTATCTACGTGGTTAACAGAAAGATCGTTTTCTACGAAAAATCCGCACATTATTACAACGTGCGTAAAGGAGACTTCTTTCTCTGCATTTTCTTCACTTTGGTTTCGCCAGCAAACAATTGAGAACCGTTCTTTTTATCTTCTATCAC